GAAAAAAGGAGGGCAAGTCAATTTCTAAGTGTTCTACATATCTCTCAAGTTTATTCCAAGTACATTTGGTGTTGTGTGAGACATTTGAGGCATCACATTTGGGTTGCTAGGCTCAGAAGGTTTCAAGGAATCCAAATCACCACAAGGTATGTATTTCTAGCAAACTTTTATGATTAAAGTTCCCCATGTATGCTAGATAGGATTAAGAACCTTGGAAATCAAATTCTGCATGTATTTTAGACAAACATAGATCCAAGGTTTCTAGGGTTGCATGTATACCTTAGGAGTGTTAGAATGCTCAAAATCCTATAAAAGGTTCCTATTCATTAGATATGGAAACTTGAATTGCAAAAGCATAATAATCTTTTTATCATTTATTTGTATGCCCTTGCATGTAACTTTACTTAGTATAGAAGGCCCACGATCAGTCGAGTAAAGAACCACCCCTTGCATATAACTCTTACTCTCAAATTGTCACTTTGTTGCCATGAGTAGGTCATTCCTACCGTGGATTAAATGAAACTTTATATGTCCACGAACACCTTTCTTTATTTTTACTATCATTATAGAAAGCCTTGGGAACACACCTAGACATGAGCACAACTTATCATCCACAAATAGAAGGTCAAAGCTAGATAACCATCTAGACACTAGAAAAACATGATCCGTGCTTATGTGATTGACTTTGGAAACACATGGGATACTCATCTACATTTGGTTTAGTTTTCCTACAATAATAGTTTTCACACTAGCATTAAATATGCGTCATTTGAGGCTCTTTATGATGAAGATTAGTGCCCATAGTCATAACAAGCTAGGTAATATTACTATAAATAACAATGTCCTTTTCGGTTACATGAAAAAACAAAATAAAGCATATCTGAAAATATATTAATTTGAGGGACTTGTTTTGTTAATTAATTAACACTTTAATAAATTGAAAATAAATAAGGAAATATGGAATATTCCAGAATGATTTGAATTCCATAGATAATTACAATTAATTTTGGTAATTATCTATAAGGTTTCAAATTACCTCCCTATAAATAGAGGGCTCCAAATCCGGATTTAATACATGTGAAATATACCTTTCAGCCATAACATCTTGGAACCCTAAAATACCTTGAATCATAGGAAACCAGTTCCCGCGATGTGGACATTGAATTGCCACGACGTGGCGAGACACATATTTGAGTTTCTTGAATTTGTTCGTGGTTGAAGTTCGAAGGTGGTTTAGATTTGCTAGTTTTGCTTCTTGGGTGCGGTTAAAGAAAAAGGAACTCTATGTTGGGTTATCTAGTCCTTTCAACTAGCTCATCGAAAGAAGAAGCCTACAAATAAATCAAAGGTATGTTTTTATACTTTGTGTTTGTTATCAAACTGCATAGATTATTTGAGTTAGATCTTGTGTTTTTAGTCTTAGATCATAATTGTTTGTTGTTTCTGCTGCCCAATTGTTGATCTTTGAGAGGCTCAAAACCCATCACTTTATGGGTGCAACTTTTGATCACCGATATGTTGGTAGGAAGTAGAAGATACCTAGTTAGCTAAGAAGCTTGCAAAGGATACCCTGCTTACTAGACCCTAGATCATACATGAGACGACCGAAAAGATCGTCTAGATCAAAGAATGATTAAGCCTCTCCTTGGAAGGGGAGAGTTCCAAGTATGAGACTAAGTTATGTTGAAAGTATCTTCTTGGAAGGGGATGATACGATTCGGAAAGCAAGGAAAACTTAATCCATGATATATAGGACCTTCGAAATTCTTGCGAGAATTAGCCATGTAGCCTACAAAATCAAGTTGCTAAAAGAGCTCAACAATGTACACAATATTTTTCCATGTATCCAACCTTAAGTTGTGTTTGTCTGACGACACTCTTTCCATATCGCTCAATGAAATTCAAATCAAATCTAAACTCCAATTCATTGAGGAACCAATGGAAATCATGGATTGAGAGATGAAAAAGTTAAAACAAAGCCACATCCTGATAGTGAAGGTCTAATGGAACTCTAAACGAGGACCAAAGTTTTCGTGGGAACACTAAGATCGTATGAGAAGCAAATAACCCCCAACTATTCAATGATATCTACTCTATGAGCAGTATGAACTATGGGTGAGCATGGTGCGGTTTTTGGCCAAAACCGAACCGAAAACCACAAGTTTGGTTTTTTAAAGTTTAGAAACCACGACATTCACTTTTTTGCGGTTTTTTATGATTCATTTTTTTTTTGGTTTTTGTTTTTCCTTTTTACTAATACTTAGGTAACTCAATGAGTTACTTTGACTCGGGTGAGGAGTGCAAATCATTTATTGAGAAATTGAAGACTTAAACGAAACATGTTTATGTCATACGATTTAATGAAAGCAAGTATGAACACGCATATCTAAATAAGATATGTTTTTAGCTTAATATATGTCCAGACGGTACAAAGAGAATGAGAGTAGAAAGTGTTATGCGAAAGTTCTTACTATATGCTCTAAGTGCTCACCCTATTTATAGGGTACTCACGGACCAAAAAAATACAAGGAGTAATCATGACATTACAAAAATCTCTTATGCCTTGTAAATACATTTACATAACGAAAGTCCTTAAACTTTCACTATTTGTAGACCCAATGACAAAGACACTACAACTCAACTCTCACACAAACTTTTGACCTAACATTCTCCCCCTTTGTGAGAATAGTTGAATTCTTCAAGGAAGGGTATTCATAGTCTGTAACAAAATCTTTCTAAAAACCTTTCTAATCTCCATATAGCAAAGTAGGATTTTTCGAATCTCTGCCTTGTTTTCATTATCATTCTTTTGGAAATTTGTTGATATAAAGCAAGATGCTCGAATATAAGAGTTGGTGTATCTCTCCAAATCATCAGCATGAAACAAGAATTTTTTTCTTTCCTCCTTTGTTATTTTCCCTAGAGAGATAACACCAAAAGGTTAATGAATTATTTATCCATCTTGAAATTCATCAATGTTGAACTTTCCCCTTAGTAAGAATTTTGGAAACCTTCAATTACTTTTTGATTGCCATGGCAAGATCAACATATGTTACAACCCTGTAATCATAGTAACAATCTATAAAGGCCTTGATATGAGCATATTCAAGAAAAAATGTTTCTTGATATTCTCCAGAAATTTGTGATTTATCCACCTGACTCAAAATATTTGTCGTTGTGATGAGATCGCTGAGATTCATCCATGGAAAATATGGCATTGTAAACTTGAATGCTACATTGTTAGCTCAAACAACAGAATATCGAAAATTCTGCATCAACCGCTCAAAGAGAACATCAGGGAATATTGATAGAACTTTCACAATATTAACAAGCGACCATACTTCCTCTTCACTTTTACCAAGTACCACATGAAAACGAATCTTCAACTTCTTTTATTCATATTGGTCTTTAAAGTTTTTAGCAATCTTGAACTACTAAAAGTGAACACCAGATGATTCATAGGGAAATCAAGCTGACTGAAGTTCGTGTTTTTGATGTCATACCTTTTCTTTGGTTTCTTTATAAATTCATCAACTTGATCAAGCACAGCTATTGCAGTGGTTTCATAACACCAAGCCTTGTTTGGATTACTCTTGTTCAAACCTAAAGGATCATTGACTCTTTGATTCATAATGTTGTTCACTTGTCTTTTCCTTTCTTTTTCAATCTCTTACAATATTATCTTTTCTTCGAAAGATGGTTCAACATTAATACTTTTCCCTTTATCTTTGGGATCACATGTTTTCTTGATTATTTTAGAACTCGAACCTCCTTCACCTATAGATATTCCTTTCTTTTGTAACTTTTCCAAATCAACATTGACTTGAGGAACATTCATTGTTGTTGTTGTAGACGTTGTCACCACTGGATTCATTGGAATCATTGTAGTAATTTTAGTCGACATAACTCTTCCCACAACTACACCTTTATCTTCGCTAGTCCCTTTGGACGAACCAGCCCCCTTTCTCCCCCTTGTGAAACGTGAACAGAACGTTGAGCATTTGTTGGGAGTCGAAGGACTAGATCCAAATCTGGTGCTTGTTCATCTTTAAAATATTTTTCTATAGAGCAGACCATAGAAGTTATTTGATCTTGAGATATTGAATTTGATAATGACACATCAAACTTCAACAATCTCTCATGAAAGCCAGTAAGCCAATTCTCAATCTTCACAAACACTTACAAATATTCTGTCTTCTTCTTTGTTAAACCCTTGTCAATTTAGGGCTGTAAACGAACCAAACGAACACGAACAAGGTCTTGTTCATGTTCGTTCGTTTAAGTTAGCCGAACAACAAACGAACACGTACGGATAAACGAACGGGATTTTCTTGTTCATGTTCATTCGTTTAACAAATTACTTTGTTCATGTTCGTTCATTTATGTTCGTGAACATGCTAAACGAACATAAACGAACAAACATAAACGAACAAAGATAAAATAAACACAATTGAACATATATGAACATAAACGAACATATAATATAGCAATATAATGAAAATTAATTGAATATAGATGAATATAAATAAACTTAAACGAACGAACATAGACGAACGTAAACAAACATCATAAACGAACGTTCACGAACATAGATGAACGAACGAGACCATTGTTCATGTTTGTTCGTTTAACTAAACGAACGATACTTTTTGTTCATGTTCGTTCATTTATTAAATAAACGAACATAAACGAACTTCCCGCCGAACAGTTCACGAACGGTTCGCCGAACGTTCAGTTCGTTTACAGCCCTACTTGTCATATTCCTTATTAAAACCTTGGACATCTTCTATCATCGTACGAATACCCACAACCAAAGTATCAACACTTCCTTTTATTTTCCCACAATACTTATCCAATTTAGCAACTTCTTGATCAAACATAGTTTGTAGCTCATTAAGCTTGAACTCGATGGATTGCTTTGAAGAATTCACAAGCTTTTTAAACATTTCATGTCTATATTTTGCTGTTTCTTGCAACTTCTCAATTTCATAAGTGAAATTTCAAGAATGCGAGGACAATTTCTCATCAAGCTTCTTCTCCATACTTTCAATCGAAGTCCTAGTCCTTGACTCTTGTGGCTTTAACAAATACTCAACGTCAACTCCACTAACTGAAGACTTGCCAGCACTATCATCGAGAAAGTGAAGAATATAATTCCTTTTCGAATTTAGAATCATAATTTTTTTACCAGACATTATATCTTCATTTTAAACTTTATTTTCTATTGGAATAAATTCCAAGTTAGCAAAGCCAACCAGAATATCATCATTTTCTTCTTCTGCTTCAGTCACAGTCTTCTCAGCCTCAGTAGATTGTGAAGAAATTTGACAGAAGTATCCTTCCTGGGTGAAATTTGAAATGAACCATCCATTTCATTGTTTGTTTCTTTACTATCAACATATGTTTCAACTTTAACTTTTTCCATCCGAGTTTCATCATCAGAAGGCTTAACCTTCTTCAACTTTTGAACAACTTCTAATCCCTTCCGCTTTTTGAAAGCTAGATAAGCAAGAGTCAAAATTTCTCTAAACATAAGTCCTTGTTTCATTACCTTCAACTATTATTTCTTAGACTTCTTTGAGACAATCTTTTTATTTGTAGATTCACCTCCTTGAGTAGGATTTTCATTAACATGTGTACGATCATCCTCAATAACTTTCTTAGCTTGTTTCGTTGGTTGTTTCTCAAATTACTTCATAGGTTGTGGCTCTGATTGCTTCTCAAATTGTTTATCAAAAACATTTTTCTTTGTCTTTTTAAGTACCATCTTTCCTGATTTTGTGGGCACAATTTTCTTAATCACTTCCTCCATGCCTGCTTTAGGTTTTGCAACTTGATTCTTCTTCTGCGTACCTTTAGGTGCTTTAGAATATCCCTCTACACCTTCAAAAGTAACTATCTAGGGAAGAATACCAGTTAGAGTTGGATTCATATAGGTTTTATATTCAATCAACGGCTCATTGGTAGGAGATACCAAACTAAGCATTGAATCAGAAATTCGACCAACCACAGGATAATCGTAGGATCATCAACAACAGATTTGGGAATAGTAGGCCCAAAGGGAATGGTCCAACTTATTTTGTAGGCTCAAGGGTGGCCAACTTTATGTTGTAGGCTCAGGATAGTATGGTTGGGTTGAGGTAGTATTGCTTTTCGCCATGGGCCAACATACCCGAGAGTGGTCCACCTTTGCAATGTAAGCTCGAGAGGCGGTCTAGCTTTGTGTTGGAGGCCTGCTATGCATGCATTGTTTATGTATTGTTGTGTCGGGTATTTTGGGGGAAACTCACTAAGCTTCGTGCTTACCCAATTTGTAATTGTTTTTCAGGTACCGGTACCATTGATGATTGTTGGTAGGCGAATGCATAATTGTACATATTCTCCTGCTGATTTATAATTGAGAGATTATTTGATACTCTGACTCTACGAATTTGATTTATCTTATGGTTTATGAAAATGTTTTTAATAAAAATGAAATTTTTTGTTATGTTTTTTGGGATGTTACATTTCGTGTGGATCGATTCAGTGTAAATCTCGAGTTCTAAAAGAATGGTGTCATTATGATGCTTTTATGGTTGACTTAGAGGTATCGTAATAATACTAAGTTTGGGTCTATTGGAAAGGACTCTTTATGTGATTTGATTTATCATTTCAGTGGTTTGTGTCTTAGAACCATAAGCTTAATATCAATTGGGTTGCTTTGTTAAAAAATCTATACTTGGCTATTCCTTTTTAGCTTTTTGCTTGTTCTCTAGCTTAATACATAAAGTTGTTTAAAAAAAAAAAGCATAGTTTGTTGGTCTTTTAGCCTAATGGACAAAATTGTTTCATATTGTCCAATATTCCATTTCACTAATTAAATTAAGATTTAATGTTACATTCTCTACCATATAATGATCATGTTACTAATTTTGTAGTTAAATTATTTGAGAACACTGATCCAATCAATGCCTCTATTTACAACAATTAACTATCACTAGGAACTCACAGGATTTATGTGTCCAAAAATGTTGGTTGTAGTACAGATTTTAAACGACATAAGTAGGTGGAGAGGAATGAGTGTTTATTCCTTTTGGGTGATAAAATAAGCAAAAAATGCACCTAAGACTTGTATGGTTTAAGTATTCTCATGATGAAGTTTTCTTAGAATGTACATTTACATAATATGGTGATGGTGGTGGTATTATTGCCATCAATACCTCATGAAATTTGGGTAGTAACCTACTACAATACTTTACTAAAGCCCCACCATTGCATTGAGTACTCTCGTATTTATGATTTCATATATATATATATATATATATATATATATATATATATATATATATATATATATATATATATATATATATATATATATATATATATATATATATATTACAAAAAGCAAATATACGGCCTCACATGCGTTTTATTTTATTTTCCCATGATAAGAAAGTTTATTCCTTTTTATATAAATTGTTGATATAATGGTAAATATTAGAGTAAACCACATAAATGATTTGTGGGATATATTGAAATGGGAAAATGATTTTTGAGGTAATTATTTTTTCATGTTTAGGTTATTTTTTAACACATTTAACAATTTAACGTGTAAAATACGTTCACATATTACCATTGTCACTTACTATTTTAGATGATAATGGTAACATGTGAATATATTTAACAAGCTAAATGGTTAAATGTATACAAAAAATATTTAAATATAAACAAATTTTTTATTGCAAATTTCTGAAGATTTTTTATAATTTTTTTCAACATCTTTTTAATATTTTTTTCTATAGTCTTTTTAATATAATGTTTTAAACTTTGTTTATACTGTTTTAAACTTTTTTATATTTTCATATAATTTTCATACAATTTTTTATAACTTGTTGAGAGAAAAACTTGAGAAACACACTTGAACAAACGTTAGAACAAGTTTATATTGCGGATATTAAAGTTAATCTTAAATGATCATAAATCTCAACAATAATATAATTTAGAGTTAGATAGTTAGATGATTAGTTGCCGAAAGATAAGGAAATATAAAAGACAACAAGTATTATATCAAGTATACACTTAAGTTGATTCATAACAATGAATGCAATTAGACCAAGCTAGTGAGTGAGATCAAACTTAGTGATTAAGTCTAGAAAAGACTTGCTCTTGAAGAGAGATTACAAGGAGTTACGATTATATTTAAATGATAAGACAGTAGAGAGAAAGAAGAGTGATAAGATTCAAGATGCATAAGAGAGGTGTATTCATTGAGAAATGGAGAACTCTATTTATAGAGTCTCGAAGATTACATATCGCCTAATCTGTTAAGAGTTGTCACGCAGAGCACTATGGATAAAAGATAGTACTTATACAAAGAACATATAAAAGACTGAATCTAAGAACTGATAATAATGACTGCGGTTGCTGATCTGAACTGCGGTTGCTGATCTTAACTGTGGGGAGAGATTGACTGCGGTTCCTGAAGTAACTTCGGATTTCTTTTAAGTTTAAGATGGTCACTTTAATGTTTCAACATAACTTTCATATAAATATTTATAAACTTTGTTTTACAACATTTTCAAAACGTCTCATAAATTTTATATGACAATTTATTATTTTTTTATAACATTTTAAAATACTTTCATTGAATACTAGTTTAGAATGTTAAATTAAAAAAAAGTTTATAAACTTCTAATTAAAAAGTATAAAAATTTGTAATAATTTGAAAACATTTATATTATATTATATTATATATATATATATATATATATATATATATATAATTTTTATTTGCTACGTAATATTTTTTTTAAAAGACTATTCATACTTATTGTTACATATTTAATTCATTTAATTATATTGTTAGATACTACTTACTTTAAATATATTGCATTTGCTTAAAAACATAAGAAAAAATTGTAAGAAGCCATATAAAATATTTCAAAAAATACATATTTAATATTTAAAAAGTATAATTTAAAATTGATCAATATTTAATTAATATTTACGATAGTAAGTTTTTGTTAAAAATAAATTAGTATAAAATTGATTTTTCGAAATCAAAAGACTAAATGGGATAAATAATCAATCGTTATGGATACTTTAAAAAATAATTTTTGGAAAAATAATACAAACAAATATGAAAAATAGAATCGTTATTAAAAGTGGGGAAAGTGACTTATCTGAGTAATTAATTTTTTGTTTTGTTCACATTTAGACCATTGTGTCTTTTCTACACATTTAACCATTTAACTTGTTAAATGTGTTCAAAGGCTACCATTGTTACCTAAGACAGAGATAGTTGGTGACAATGATAATATGAAAACAAGCTTAACAAGTTAAACGATCAAATGTGTAAAAAAATGCATAAATGTGAACAAAATGTAAAAGATGGTCACTTGTGGTTTTATTTATTGCATCGTAATTCATTTGTTATTATCATTAATAACCATCCATTGAGTGTTTTTTTTTTGTTGGAAGGATATCAATGTATTAAAGAGCTACCTAGATAGAGATTAGCAACCAGAAAACAACTAGTTCAGTATCAAGTAACGAATCCACTCTATAATTTCTTTTGTTAGACTTATAATTTCTATTAAAAAAACAATTAAAAGAAAACGAGATCATTACATAAAAAAAATTGTAACATCCAAAAAATCATGACCAAAAATTTCATTTTTAATCATTAGATAAAACCATGGTTATCAAATCTTTTTCATCAAACACAATCAATATCTCAAAACATCATAATCAGAGTATCAAAATATCAAAGTAAAACATCTCAGGCTAAAACATTATGGTGTGTGCCATGCAGTCATCCCGAGCTCCTCCCTCTGCTACCGGAAGTACCTGAAACCAAAACTGAAAACCGTAAGCACGAAGCTTAGTGAGTTCCCCATACTACCACATACCATACACAACCACATACTAGGCCCCCGCTCGCTGCATCGGGACTAGTCCCCGCATCGGACTCGCTCCGGCATCGGGCCTTTCCCGGCATCAGGCCTCGCCCGGCATCAGGCCCCGCCTGGCATCGAGCCCCGCTCGGTATACATATATGTCTCTCTTAGGACCCGCCTGTCACTGGGCCTCGCCCGCTAAACACATACAATCATATAACATAACACATAACATATAAGCTAAACATACCCTACTGTATTCCTGACATAAGGCCTCGCCTATCTTGGGCTTCGCCCCAGTCCTGCTACTAATGAGTCATGGAACCCCATCCACACTCCAGCTGATAATGGGACCCTGCCCATACTCACTTCTCTCCTATCTCGGGCCTCGCCCTTGCTCTGCTAATGATGAGATACGGAACCCTGTCCATACTCGGCTAGTGATGAGATACGGGACCTCGCCCACACTCACCTCCCTACCAGGCATATACAAGTATCAGAAAGACAACAAGTATAAACTACATACAAACATTCCTCGGGCTTGCCCCGGCATTGGACCTTGGTCCGAAATAACATACATATAAACTCTCATCGGTCCTCGCCCAGTATCGGACCTTGGTCCCGAAACATACTATCATACAATGCCTAGGGCTAACCCCGGGTCTTC